GTGTGTGTGTGTGTGTGTGTGTGTGTGTGTGTGTGTGTGTGTGTGTGCGTGCGTGCGTGCGTGCGTGCGTGCGTGTGTATATGCTTCTCTGTTTGGTTATTTTGTAATTCAAATGTGGCTCATAAATATGATTACATGTAACCCTTGTTCTGTAATACACACATAAGTGGTTGCTGCTGGGTCTTAAACGTAAGGGTTGTTGCAAATGTCTATTTATTTGTTCTTACAGACCTAAGACATGCATTAGTATGCTTAGATACCAATAGCCTGGAGGGTGTGCTTTGCTGTCATTATAGAGACTCAAAGGCTCTGTTTTTATTGCTATACAGTCTCTGCCCTGTGTTGCACCCTTACGTGCCGAGGGTAGCTAATCCACCCATCTTTGTAAACACAGTCCTCTGTAGATGTCTCAGCTTTTCCCCTTTTTCCCCCTTTGAGCTTCTGTGACGGCCCTGGATTATTTTCCCTTTTGCTTTTGCCCGTCATCTATGTTTGAAGTCTCATGAGTGATGTGCTATTTTTATACAGCTAAAGGATTTTGTCATGTTTCATTTGACACAAGATATTACATAACTGGTTTTGAGCATGCATGAACTTCAGTGGCTGTGCACTCATACTTACTGTATGTTGTAAGTGCATGCAGTCAGTGAAATACTACCTGAAGAGCAACACCATGTACTTTTGTGTGTGTGTCTGTCTGTCTGTCTGTCTGTCTGTCTGTCTGTCTGTCTGTCTGTCTGTCTGTCTGTCTGTCTGTCTGTGTGTGTGTGTGTGTGTGTGTGGGTTTTTTTCTACAGGGTGTCCTTGTTCGACTACCAGGCCATGTGTAAGATGAACTTGCACTCTGTCAGCAGCGCCCGTCCACTTCTCAGTGTAAGCACAGTGTACTCAATCTGTATACCATAATATTAATACTAATATTACAGTCCAATCAATTCAGAAGTAACGCTCATCTGTTTATCTCTTCAGCCGTTTTATGGTTTGGCTTCAGCCCTCAAGTGGTTCCTCTCCAACTTCCTACTGTAAGTGTTGCTATGGCCACAATGTCAGTTTATCCAAAACAAAAGGGATTTTTGTAAAAATGTGCTATTATGTATCACTATTCACTAAGTTTTGCCTATTTGTAAAAGCAGTGGATTTTTTATTTCATGGTTGAAAATATAACGTTATAATAGGAATGGTTTGATATTTAGAGAACAATGCACATTATCAATTTTCTTGCCAAGAATTAGGTAAAAGATCAATAACACTTTCATGTCTGTTTGATAAAAATGAAGCTAGGTCTAAAATTGAAAGCATAAAGCCTGCGAACAGAAGGAAACAACTGGCTCGGCTTTGTCCCAACGTTATCAAATCTGTCTACCAGCATCTCATGCTTAGTTAATGACATATTATATCTTTATGGGTAATCTGCTATAAAACCGTATAGCAAAAACAACAGTTTGCTGTTTTACAGGGAAGTTATGTGCTGGAATAAACATTTCAGTTGTCACTACTTAGTAAGGCTCCTCCAGTTATCCAGAACGGCTACCAATGCTACTAATTACTGCTGATTCATCTGAGGAATCACTTTAATATTCCCACGGTACAACTTTGGGGCCTGGCCCAGATTTTGAAGTCAGAATGCAATCTGCTTGCTATCTGCTTTGGTCCATAACAAAGGCCGCCTAATTGACTCTCTGTCCACTCTCCTCTTCTGTCTTCCTCATAAGGTTTCTCCTGGAGTTTAATTTCTGTGGCTTTTGGCACACGGAGCATTTTGCTGACGGTGAGTTCTACAAGAAAAGTGTTGCCAGTTAAGGTCAAACTCTATCTTTGTGATAAATGTCTCTTAAAATTTCCTTTTTGCATGTATATTTTGTAGATCATCTAACCTTAAGAGCAGACCTAGATTACTGCAATATGACCTTATTATCAACTGCTTTAGAGAATATACACACGTCTACATGGAATGCAAATCAATTCTTAAGTGATTATTAAATCTTATTTAATATTAATGTGAATGTCTGAGCTAATAAAACTCACCATCGCTCATTCTCATCAACCAGTCATGGCGAACATGTAGGAGTAATGTCCCGTGTCATTGTGCTCTATGTTGTGTCAATCCAATACCAGCAGTGGAAACATTAATCCCCAATCTAGAAATCATTATGGAGTCATCTGATCCCCTCACCTCTCATCTGTCTCTGTCTTCCCATCGATCACACTGCTCATTACTACACCTGTCAATCATCCACTCTTCCTCCAACTCGATATCATCATCATCATCATCATCATCATCCCCCCACTCAGCTAAGGCATCTTTCAGCGTGTGTGAGTATATGTCTCAAAGGGGTTTTTAGCGCAATCGTTTCTCAAAAATTATTTTTTTCTAAATGTTGTATGTGGTGTAATGTTTGTAGTAATCTTCAAACAGATGAATTGCAGTCTCTCTGAAAGAGGTGGGAGAAGTACTCAGATCTTGTACTGAAGTAAAAGGAGAAGTACCAGAGTGTGGGAATACTCTGTTACAGTAAAAGTCCTTCTTTCAAAATGTTACTCACGTAAAAGTACAAAAGTATTATTATCAAAATATAGTGAAAGTAGCGACAGTAAAAGTAGTCATTGTGTCTGCACAATGACTACTTTTACTGTCGCTACTTTCACTATATTTTGATAATAATACTTTTGTACTTTTACGTGAGTAACATTTTGAAAGAAGGACTTTTACTGTNTTTATTGCGGTGATAACTATTTAGATAACATTTATATTGAATTATTATGCCATTCTTCACACACTTAATGCTAATAATATCTGACTTTTAAACTATGTTAGCTGTAATTTGGCTCTTCATGGCGTTTATTAACAGATAGTCTGCAGATTTGCATCTTTCACTTCTTAGTTCTGTTTCATTTTTATATTGTGAGATGTTATAGCTATTTTCTATTTGCAATTTACAATTCAGAGGTAAATCACGTATTTTTACTGCACTACATGTATTTAATACATTTAGTTACTTCACAGATGTGGATTGATGTGAAATATAATCAAGTGTTAAATCAGACTTTAGTTCCACCTGGAGTAAATCCACAAGCTACCCTGCAGTATACAAAGTCATTCAAACTAGCTGCACCTTTACCAGCTTTGAGAACACTTTAATGATCAATCATTATCAAACATATCAGATATATTATTCTGAAATGGACCAATCTGCACAATGACTACTTTTACTGTCGCTACTTTAACTATATTTTGATGATAATACTTTTCTACTTTTACTTGAGGAACATTTTGAATGCAGGACTTTAACTGTAACAGAGTATTCCTACACTCTGGTACTTCTACTTTTACTCAAGTACCAGATCTGAGTACTTCTACCACCTCTGCTTCTTCCATCACTGGGAATAGTAATATCACACACATCTGGAGGATTGTTGGTGTCACTGTGTTATAGCGTGTGACTCACCTTACTCACAAATGATCAAGCTTGTTCATCCAAATAAAGCAGACATTATCTCTGTTTCCTTCTCAGACATTCAGTGTAATTGTCTCAGATATAAACCCTGCAGAAAGAGAATGAAACAAGCTTCAGTTTCCCCTCAGCTTCATGTCAGGTAGCAGGAAGTATTTTCTGTGTGACGTTTATAGCAGCACACACTGAAGTAAGCTTAATGAACACCACTGCCACCTGCTGGGCCGGAGTGCATCCACAGCAACACTGTGTGCCTCTCATCCTGAATGTGTCTAAATGAAGTCGGCCTGGACACTTTGGGATCAAAAGGACAGGTGCATGGGATGACAAAAACGGTCAGTGAGTAAATATGGTATTTATTTACATTCTCAGCAAGAGGAGCAGCCAAAGGCAATCTGGCAAATCTTAGTCAAATTTGAACACAGTCATGATACTCGTTTTTTTATTCAGTTTGACTCGCATTTTCCAAAGATATAGTCTCTGAAGTCCACTGCGAGGGGGACCCAAGTTCCCATCAGCAAAAACACGTGGGTTTGCTATCCTGGCTCCAAAATGGTGGAATGAGCTCCCCATTGAAATCAGGACAACAGAAAGCTTACACATCTTCAGGCGCAGACTGAAAACTCATCTCTTTCGACTCCACTTCGAGCGATAGAATTACTAACAAAGCACTTATATACTAACAAAGCACTTAGATACTAACAAAGCACTTACATACTAACTAAGCACTTAGATACTAACAAATCACTTATGTTATATACTAACAAAGGATTGGCTTATCTAAAGCCAGTTGAGTAGCACTTGATATGTTTTGGCTCTATGAAACCTGATGTACTTATATGATTCTGTTTTCTTCAAGCTTGTATCTTCTTGGTCGAATGCACTTATTGTAATTCACTTTGGATTAAAGCGTCAGCTAAATGCAATGTAATGTCATGTAATGTTAAACTGCACTATAACTTTTATTCATGTATTTTTCATTTTAATGTTTATTTTATTATCTTTGCTTTTTAATGACTGATTTTAAATGCCATTTTCTTAATGTCTTTCATTTTTGTAAAGCACTTTGAATTGCCTGGTGTTGAGAGGTGCTATATAAATAAACTTGTCTTGCCTAAGGGATAGACTTCAATAGGTACAGTACGTTTTAACACTTGTAATTTACCCCATGTTAACAAATATCCTTTGGTGGGAAACAATAAGTGTGGATTTTGACTTTATGGTTAACTTACGTGATGCTAAAAAATAGGGTGTTGCATTGTGTAATAGAAACTTCTGGCGCATATAGTCGTAACACAATGAAACACGGGGAGAGCTGGAGCTTGATGGCAAGCACTGAAGATTTATTTGAAGTTACGAACGGAGAATTGACAAAGACACTGGCTGCAGCCAGAAGTTGACACAGCAGTATCCCAACCAATCCTCAAGGTTTCTACCCCAGAGCCTTGTATTTAGCTGGTGACAAGAGAATAATCAACATTGTGCTTAGATAGATCAGGCAAAGCACTAAGACACCTCTATCAGCTGACGCCAACAGGCGGGAATGAGGAGACAAAACACAAGGTTGCAGGCCTGTGCTCAGCGAGGGCAGTAAAAACGGATTAACTGGGTAAAAGTCAAAGTCAACTTTATTGTCAATCTCAAAATATGTTTGTACCATAGACTGTATATATAAAGGTTTGTACACACAGAAAGATCGAAATACTGTTTCCCAGTCCCGAGGTACAACAGAAAAACACATTAAAATGCATACCGTTGCTACGCTGGAAAAGGGGGGGGTGGGGGGAGAAGGGAGAGAGGAGGAGAAGGAGAGAAGGAGAGAGGGGAGAGAAGGGAGAGAAGGGGGAGCCTTAGGAAATTATTTCCCCAAAACATTGTTACTGCATGTTATGTTTGTTTTGGTGAATGAATAAATATTACAAGCAACCAAAAAAGGATGTTCCATCCAGTTTGGAGTAAAACATTACCAGGGCTCGTCGGTGCGGGTAAGCCTATCTGGTTCAAATAACAAAAAAATGTGTAAAAATGATGTTGTTAGGTTTTTATGTATCTGTACTTTGCCCCTAATCACGTATTATAATAAAGTTAGCATTGGCTACACGTTCCAGAGATTGCACGGTTTTACCATAAGAGGAAGAAACATTTTGCTATAATGGATATGAGACACTGGAATGTAAACTCCAACCCATGTATGTTTCAACACTACTTAACCACATAGCCCTGTGATCACAGGAGAGAGAGAGGGGATTCAGAGGCGTGTGAAAAAATAAACATAGCATTATTATTTTTAAGAAGAAAAGACACGCAAACAATGCAATCAACAATTGACCGGTGACGGGTGAAGACTTTAGCATCGTCAGGTAAATCATTTGTTCATCGTTTTTATTATTAAACTTCAAATATGTTAAAAATAAAAACTCTTCATGGCTTTAACCGCTTTGGGGCATTTGCGTCAACCTATTCCATGAGCTAATCCCATCTTTTTACAATCTTTTAACTTTTGGTCTGCTTAAATTCAGTCTTTTAACAATTGTATTTGCAGTATATACGTTATATCTTGTTTTCTTCCGCCTCACCCCCCCCCCTGTTATGGATTGGGGATTCTAAAATCCCTATTCTACTTTTCAGGTTTAAGTGTAACTCCTCTTTACTTTTCTCTAAGACGTCGCCCGGCTAACATCTCTGAGTAAACATTCCACTTTCGTTTGACAAACAATGTGCCTTACAAGGATCAATTGTCACAATACTGTAGTTTCTCTCGCTCAGCATGTTTTGATTTCTATTTACCAGTTTCTCTTCCTCCAGATATCAAACCAACCAATTAACCGAGAATCATTAACTCAGATCACACTTACTCCATTAATCAGTTAACAAACCAATCACCTAACTTTAATCATGCAATCTAACTAAATCAACCATTCAATCAATTCAAAATCATAATTTAAATGGGCTCTTAAAATAAAAAGAATTATAAAAAAGGTGTAATCGAATATCATTTGCAGTATGTTTATTTGTATTTTTCAAGTTTGAAAAAATATATCTCCATGACTTCTCTCCCACAGCGCTGTGCTCTCTGTTCTTCATGGTGTTTACTCCAACCTGAGTTTTGTCTTATTCAAAGCAAAGAAAACCTGGCGGTGGAGGCTCAGAGTTTCTGCCAGAGGAATTGTCTCGACCTGGCCCACCATAAGAGCGACCTGCGGAGCATATAGAAACAGTGCTGAGATCTGTTTGAGGCCAGCTACGGATGACGCCCGTGTGGATAGGCTCATGAAGAGGGAGCAGAGGTGCCCACTTGGTCCAACAACTGAAAAAGATTTTCTACAAAGAAGGGAGGAAAAGAGAGGATTTCATTTGGGACATTCAAGAAGATTCTGGTTTCAACTTGTGGAGCCTTCAACACGGGACACTGTTTGTCAGAGAGCTGCACCACCACACACGTTTCAATTTGGCTTTGATTTTGGTGGACTGACACTTTTGGTGCGTTTCCCCCCGCTGCAGCGCGGACTCGCTTAAGCGTGGGCCGAGGCCGTGCGGGTCCCGTTTTTGGGTTGCCGCTTCCACTTGGCCTAGTTTTGGCCCCGATGCCTACTTTTTTTCACTTTTTTTCTGGGCCGACTAAATTCGTGGTTTTTTTTTTGCTATTGACGGCCAACAAACAGGGCTGAGTTTGCTGAAACTAGAGAGGAGGAATCGCTGGCAAGGGGCTACAACTACAACAAGCATGAACATATTTTACCAAGTGAGTTTAATTTGTAATACACGTTTCAAAATTGATGCCGAAGTAACAACATAGTGATACCGGTTGTAAAAACCATGAATTATGCTTTGACAAAGTCTGTCAGACTAGACGGCAGGGCGGGAAAAACCTTTTTTTAAATGCGTGATCTTCCACTATAGACATCATGATTTCAAACATTCTCGGTCTACCTATGTTGTAAATGTAATCTCTTTGGAATTTACTCCAAACCCCCAACGGCCATCTAGTTGCACGTCTGTCCGTCTCTGGGAGAGGGATCCTCTCTGTTGCTCTCCCTGAGGTTCTCCNATATGTTTTATAATGATTGATCATTAAAGTGTTCTCAAAGCTGGTAAAGGTGCAGCTAGTTTGAATGACTTTGTATACTGCAGGGTATCTTGTGAATTTACTCCAGGTGGAACTAAAGTCTGATTTAACACTTGATTAGATTTCACATCATTAATCCACATCTGTAAAGTAACTAAAGATATTACAAGAATGTAGGGGAGTAAAAGTACACCATTTACCTCCTACTGTAGTGGAGTAGAATTTAAAAAAGTGCAAAAGACTACTACTTGGATGTACTTAGTTACTTAACACCACTGCTCTCTAATTACATAACTAATTCTCCACAACGAGACCTAAGCAGACTGTTAAAACTGAAACAAATGTAATTCTGAGGAAGTCATACAGAAGACATGAAGATCTCAAAACACCATTATAGCTCTTCCTTATGGTTTTCAAACCCATCATTTTTACCTGCACACATCTATCAGAGGTACATGGTACAAAGAGCAATAAATGGCTGAAGTGTGAAGCATTTACTGTAAATAGCACCCAGCATCCCTCTGTCACAGTCTATCAGCCTTCCAGTCATCAACACAATGTCACACACACACCTCCACACACACTTTCACATCCAACCTTGACACATGACCCATATCTATTTCTGTAATAGCCTCGGCTCATAAGAAAAGAGGGGACATTCTTCAGCCGTGTGACACCGAGTACCCCAGCTTTGTCTACGAGCCGTCAGTCAAAGAGACCAACAGCATCATTAAGTGTGGACGCTGCCAGAAGTAAGCACACACACTCAGGCACACTTATAGCACACACAAATCTGCACACACACCCTAGACCAGTCATATTACATTTTCCGCCTCAAATCCATTTTCTATGGCTTTTCTGTGTTCTGCATACAGCAGGGAGTGTGAGGAAGAGGGGGAATAAGTAGAAAGGAAAGGAATTAGATCTGGGTACATGTGGTTTCAGAAAGACCGAGAAGTATATGGGGAGTGAGGGAGAGGGACTGGAAAACTGAAATTAATAAGAGGGGTAAATGAAAAAAACAGAGGGATGGAGGAGAGTGGGTGACAGAAACGGAGATGGAAAACAGTGGGAGGCAAGAGCAGGGGGGAAGGTGTGTGTGTGTGTGTGTGTGTGTGTGTGTGTGTGTGTGTGTGTGTGTGTGTGTGTGTGTGTGTGTGTGTGTGTGTGTGTGGAACAGAAAAGAAGGAAACGGGGAGAGAAACACTGTTTACTACAATATGTCTGCAGGTTTGTGATCATAGGTTGAGTGTGATCGCCCTCATGAGGCTACAAAAGGTATAACATAGCCCTTTAAATGCTAAAGGACACGGTTACAGACTTTAGAAACTTTTAAATGCAGTCAAGTACATTTGCAACCATATTTGCTTTAGTATTTCTGTGGGAACCAAATTTGGATAATAATTTAATAAATACACAAATATATCATTTTGTATCACTGTTACAATTATTGTGGGTATTGTATCTGCCCAGCTCAGCGACCTCTTCTCGACAAGGTGTTAATTTCATACAATACAAGAGAGGTTTGCCTTTTGTGCATGTGTTTGTGTGTGTCAGGATGTTTGTGGTGCAACAGATACCAGACAGCAACCTGTTGATGCTGGTGGTGCAGGCGGACTGTGACTGCTCCAAACAGTACCCACCCATCACCATGGAGCCCAAGGAAGTCAAATATATCCTTTGATTTTTTGCTATTCATGGAGTATGCTGCTAGTGCTGCCCTTTGTCTTCCTATTTCTCCCAAATGAATTCCATTTGTAATGCAGTCCCTGTTGCTATGGAGAGGGCGAGTTGACAACAAACAGGAATCTCTAATGTTGTAACTAATCCAGGATCTTTAAGCTCCCCAACAGTGATCACTTTATTTGTTTTCCATAATCTCCCCTTGCACCAAACTTTAATTCTGGAAATTGTGTATGCTTGCTGTGGTAAATATATAGAATTGTTTTTTTACTAGATTATATAAAAAAAGAGGTTCTCTGAATCTAGTCTCTAAGGGCGATGGCTCAGTGCCAAGAAAGTACTTGCCGTGGAGAATCCTTTTGTGTTGCTGCGGTTGCTCCTTGACTCCACTGCACATAATGCCTCAGTGAAGTGTGACAGGATGAGGTCCCAGAAGATCCGGCGCCGCCCCGAGTCCTGCCACGCCTACCACCCCCAGGTCAGCTTCACATCCGTCCATACGTTCATTGTGTCATAACCTCCTCATAATGTTTTTTGCTGCAATGTCTTCTGTGCATCAAACACATTTCTAATTAGGAGAGTGCCTTTTTGTTTGTTGTCCTGCCGTCTGTATATCTGCTATTTTATTTAACTTGATTGCATTGAAACTGGTTTGGAATGGCTTTAGTCTTGGCAGGGACACAAAGTGAAATCACTTTCTGTTTGTTTCTGCAGGAGAACGCCAATGACTGTGGAGGAGCTTCTGTTATATATCTCTCTGCATCTCTCTTCCTCGCCTGCCTCTCCTTCTCCACACGTGTCTCCTGATGATGGACAACTTTGCTGTTTCAACTCAATTTCTCATACAAACGAGGAGATTGGAATGAATCAGGATCAGTGTTTGGACACTGATCAAATGGGTTAATAAAAAAAAACGTTCTACCCATGACGACCACAATAGTCTCTAATGACGGACCTTTGATGTGTTTTTTTAAGCATTTATTGGTTAACTCATGGAAAGTATACATCTGAACTGAAAACTGCAACAAAAAAAACAAGTTATAGGCCGTTGTTGCCGTGGACACTTTTCCATTTGTTGCTTTCTCATACACCACGTTGCATCTCAAAATGAAAGAGGGACTAAAGAGATGCAGGTGGCAGCTATGACCTGAATTGATAAAAGAGGATTACAAGTCACATGATGCAACAGAAGAAAGTCCAGGGGGGAATATATTAATCATTTTTCATATTCCACTGAACTGAATATTGCAGTACATGCATATTATATATGCAGCTGCAAGCATGCGCAACTGGAGAACTTTATCCCCTGAAAGCTTCATATTCTGACTAGGTTTTAAACATTGAATGAGAGACAGGAGAGAAGGGCTACAGCCATATCTGGTAAACAGTGTTGTTTAACATCAGTGTTGCTGCTGAAATTCAGATTAGAGGACGGTGTTTACAGTATAAATTTTTCTGAATCTAATCTCAAAGAGCGATGGTTCAGTACCAAGGAAGTACATGCAGTGGAGTTGATAAAAAGTAACAAAAAGTATGGGACGTCACTTCACTATCTTGTTTGTTTTTTTAACTTGGATTACATCCGAAAAAATGTTTCTGTGACATATCTTTGAAAAAAAATGTCTTTGCCTTTATGTTTTTATCAGCTGTGTCTTTCTGTTTGTTTGTAATTATGTTTGGCTGGAGACCACTGTGGAACTCACAGGATGTAGATCTACAATCAAAAAGAATAACAAAAAGATGGATTGTTTTTTAGATAAATACATGCAATGAAATGGATTCAAGGCTAAACTGGAAGGAAGATGCAGTTGTACCAGAGCATCAGTGTTTCCAGAAGTCATTTTTTTATGCTGTTGACTATGCATTTACTGGACTGGGTTTTTTCAGATGCTTGTGTCCCAAGGTCATGCATTTGCTTCTAATCCCTTGGACTATACAACAATATAATTGTATAATTTCATGATTAAATACAAAATGCTCTCAGTTTGGGAAACAAGTTTTTATTATGAACAAATTAAAATGTGAAATGTTCATATGAGTAATCACAATGTACATTAACAGGGTGCATTTATTTGCATTGGGTATTTTTGTATTTGCTTGTGTTTCATATTCTGAACTTCAGCATTTCATTGTGTTTCGGGCTGTGAGTGTCCCTGTAGCATTTTCTATGGTATTTCTGAATCATCTTACAAAGCATGTCTTTAAGTTGAGCTTACTCTGATGACAAAATTGCCTGAGAATTTGCCTGCTTGTGAAAAGGCTCTGATACATATTGTGTGTCAATGTGCAGCATTGCAATGTTGAGTATTTTTTTCATGTGTCTCATTTTTGTTTGGAATTTTACTATACAGTATTCTATATTGTATGGTTGACATGTGTACAAGTTGTGTGTTGACTGAAGTCATGATTTGAACCAAGTAAAATAAATTATCTATGTTTTTTTATCGTATTTGTCACCAGTTTGTTGTTGTTTTTTGCTTGTCAGTGACTAATGACCCTTACATAATACAGATGCTAACAATACCAGACTAAAACAATCAGTACTTTACCAATACTCAAAGGGGTTATATAATACATATATTATGTTGAAATTGAATATCTAGAGTGGCGATGTGAGCTCTTGTAATCAAATCAGCTTTCATATTGCACTAGCAACATGAATAATCCAAAGGTTTGAAATCATATCTGCAACTACACAACACTGTCTTGACACATGGTTGCTGTGTAATGCTTTTCAAAAAAAGAGTATAGGAAGTGTGATGGTTGTCAATCTGAGCTTGTCTCGGAATCTGAATCCAGTATTACTTCATGTTTTGATTTAATATACTATGATAATGCTGAATATTACAAACGACTAATAGTCAGTAGCATCCTCCAGTACTGGTTCAAGCATGTAAAAAGTATACCAAAAAAATATTTGTTAGAAATAGTATATAAATAGTTGGCGATGATTAAAACATATCTATTGTCAAGTCAACATTTAGATATAAAATAAACATATAACATTTTATGTATACATTTTGACAAAAGACACTTTTTGTCCTAGGCAACTAACAATGCAATTGTACTTATAAATCACATTATTTGTCTGATTGGGCTTTACATCGTACGAGGAAAATCTCCCCAAAGAAGCTCAACAATTTAAGGGAAACATAAAAGAAACCTAAGGGTTGGCAACACATAAATCCCTCAGAGATTCAAAGAAGTCCATCAAAGATTACAATTTGTTTTTACTTTAAAACGAGAAGAATAGTTGATCTGGTGTTTTTGACAGGCAAGTCAGCCTCTACCTTGGGGTATAATGACTAGATAAACAGGGTTTGGAGGGTAACTTTAACTACTAGTTACAATAATCTCAATATCAAAATAAAAAAGTAAAGTGACCTGAAAACTCTTCCCTACTTTTGGATTACCTCAATATCAAATTCAACGCAAATAACTAAAAGAGAAAAATAAATATCAATAAGGTGTTATTTACTATGTTTATAACAATGTAACCATAGGAGAGAAGAAACCAACATAATTTCACAGAACAAATGTAGTAAGTAACAGTTATAGTTTACAAATGCTGTTTAAGCCTAATACATTAATCAAAAGCCAACTATATTTGTGTTGAATAAATCAGGGGTCCACCTATTGCATTAAAAAATAAAGGTGTTTAAAAATTAAAGCAGCCTTAATGTAAAACCATAAGGAACATTCATTCAATACGCCTACCTATAATATATTGATCCACATGTTATACCATGTTGATACCACTCTAATCCTTCAAGTAATCTCTATTATTTTTGTATGTAACAGTCATGTGAATTAAAGGGCAGCTTAGAACCTCTTTACCAAAGCATTTGACTGATTTTACACTATAATACTGCACTATTCTCTATGATTGACATTGCACTATTTCTCCATTTATTCTCCATGTTTTTATTTTTAATTATTTTATCCAACTTTATCCTTTGCTCTTGCTGCTTGTTTTACACAGATTTTATGTCTTATTTCTTACTGATGTAAAGCACTTTGAACTGCAATCCCCCTGTATGAAAGGTGCTATACAAATAAAGTTATCATTATTATTATGTGATTACTCTTTTTCTTTCTTCATTGTAATAGAATAAAGTTACCTTTTTTGTATCCTGATTATTTAATCTCGTCACATGTAATCCGTTATTCCCCAAGCCTTTCTTACAGTCCTAATGTCTTTTGTTTTCTTTATGTTCTCTGTATTTTATATGTTTGTATTACTGTTATGTGTAACGTTGCTGCCTTCTTGGCCAGGTCAGCTTTGAAAATGAGATTCTATCTCAATGCTTTTTTATCTGGTTAAATAAAGGTTAAATAAAAAGCCTGTAGATAAAGCACTTCCCCACACTGGTGTTATCGCGTTTATATCATGGTTTGTATTCTCAGCAGGGCTGTAGTTAGTGCAGGGGGCCAGCAGGGGCGCTAGTGGTCCCTCTCCGGCTCATTGTTTGGGTCTCAGTGTGGCTCTGCTCTGCCGGCAGAGAGAGCGACGGGTTGGTGGAAAATGGCGGACGGTGTGGATCACATCGATATCTACGCCGACGTAGAGGAGGAATTCAACCAGGTATTGAACGCGCATTGAGCACACTTCATCTTATGGTTAATTTTTCTGTATTCGTGTGTGATATTTCGTGCTTAGTCTGGTTGGGAAATGGTGTGTTCTGCTGGGTAGAGTTTCCCTCGCATACAGGCCCCCCCTCCACCATGCTGCAAGCAAGCCCGCATCCTCAGATACTATTACCCCCGAGAAATGTGGAATTTGCGCTGTTGTCGACATTTACCACCACGCGTGAAGCATAAAGAAAAGTACATGAAATGTGCAAATATATTGTATTTCTTCGGTTGAACGCTAACATCATCCTCTATCATTGTTCACAGTGTCGGGCCTCGGAATGGCTGCCTGTGGCGCGCTAGTTACGATAGCTAGCAGGCGATAGCTTTCTAACAATAATTATGTTTGGCACGTTACTTTGTGGCTCCCTTTGTGTTTTCTCAGTTCATACTAGCACATTTTAGGTTGAACCTTAATTGTTACTAGGCATGGCGTTTTACATGTAATTCAGAAAGCATTGTATTAGACGTAACATTATGGAGTGTTAGCTTTTATACTCTTAGCTTAGTGCAACCTTAGCATCTCTGTGTCCATTGGCTGGATATGTTGTTGTCTACTCATAACAAGCTCCTTTCCTGTACACCAGAACCCAGGGGGCAATTTGTTGTTTGCTGGCCCCTTAGAGACAACTTAATCTCCTGCAAAATCTTCCCTCCATAGTGTAGGTTAATGTTGACTTGTTTGTATAAGAGATGCCCTCAGCTGTTAATGTTTACATTTACGGAAGTCACTTTTTTGTTCAATCGAAGTCTTACTTCATACTGATACTCAAAGACGGAAAAGTTCACAAAGTTAGTCAAAGCATCAGTCTGAAGATGACTTATTCTATCTTAGCATGACCTCCTTAATTATTTTGTCTACAAGTCCCAATCTATTTTGAGAGCGCCTGCAAAACTGAAGACATTTACACAGCCACTGCTCCCCTATAACCTGTTCTACTCGTCTTCAGTTAAAAATAAACGGCACTTTGTTGTTTTCATTGTGTTATATGGTCACATGAATAAAAAAAAAGACTGAGGTATTGCTAGACCCTCCAGAAAAACGCGGACAAAAATCTTTGATTATGCGATTAAACATGCGTGGTTTTTATGTGATTTTATGCGGTGAAATTGCGAAAAAAAATTGGCTGTCTTATTTATTCTCTCTCACACACAACCTGCCACTAACGTTAAACCCCTTTCCTATTCAATTAAACACATTCAATGTTTATTCATTGCAAAAGCAATTGGGCTATTTTAATCACACTCTCTCTCACTCACACACACACACACACACACTTCTCCGCCTCATTCTGTTTATTTACTCGTTCGTTATCTGATCAGCTTCAATCTTGTAGGTTACTCACTTCGTTTCTTGTAGCCCTCGAAAGGGTTTTGGAGGTTGATGCCTCGGTGAACGTGAGTTGTTTGGCTTTCTTGTCCGCAGCAGCAGAAAGCATTTTCGAATGTTTGAATGAATCGAAGTGGGTCGTCACCGTCGATTTTCTCTTATGCTCCAACACACAGTTGCACGGGGTGCAGAATAGTTTCCTCCCACTTTCTTGAAAGACATCGGGGTACTGCTTTGCCCGGTCTTTAGCAGAAATGTTCGTCGGTAAATGAGATGGATCAGATTTTTTCATCTTGGTGTTTTCTCTCTTGTGTGAGTTCCACACGTTCACTCTACGGTGTTGTTTACCTTCTGTGATGCGCAAGCTGATGACGTCGCGTCATCATCATCACTACTTCACGTCAAGACGAGTTAACTTTTTTCCTCTCAACTTTGTGTGGAAAAATGCGGGGATTATGCTGCCTTTTGATAAATATGCGGCCTTTGAAAAATCGGCGCCATTTAGCTGATTATGCGGTAAATTCGCGTTTTTCTGGAGGGTCTAGGACTAAATGTAGGCGTGTTCCACATACTCCGATATAGTTTATAGTGTTCAACATTAACAGCTATAAGAGGCTTAAAAAAAGATTAACTAATCTTGTTGACAGTACTCAAGAGTCCTACCAGCTCTAATGGTAACAAGTTAACACACTACAGTCGGAAATATCCACCAACGGTGAAAAGTAGCATCTCATTTAGAGTATGCATGGCTCCATGTTAACAGCTAAGGAAAGACATTGTCTTTTTGGATTAAGGGCAGGCACTTGAGTATTTTGTGCATGTAGAAATTGATTATTTAAGATCTTTCAGCATGTACAGTAAACTTGAATCAGGTGCATTTATTGCAAATTAGAAAAACCATCAGGATGTATTGTGCCACCAGATACTGCTGCAATCAAATCAAATAAGAAATAAAACTCACAAATTCACCCCTGCAAATTGTTAATGATGTACCGAAACGTCAAAACGATGTGATTCTATGCATTGTCTCTGATTTATATACATGGGCTGCTTATAATGTGTCACATGTTTGACTGAACTGTTACTGTCACGCTCTACAGGAAGCCGACTACCCGGTCCACGACCAGATCGACCTGTATGATGATGTAATATCTCCATCAGCCAACAATGGAGATGCTCCGGAGGACCGCGACTATCTGGACACACTGCCTACACAGGGTGGCTCAGAGGGAGGGAAGAGTTCCCAACCCAACGTGGTGTACACCTACACAGGCAAAAGGATTGCCCTGTACATAGGAAACCTAACATGGGTGGGTAGAAGGCTACTTAGATATGATATATCCATACAAAATATTTTATAAATAGAAGCAACTTGAAAAAAAAAGTATCTTTAAAGACAGATATTCTTGTTTCTTGACAGATGTTCACCTATGCATTAGAGGCTTCTCAATACTCTAATTTCCACTCCTCGACTCCTATCCTCAAGACTTAGTCTCGCCCACAGGAGATGCGAGCGGAGGAGTCGAGGAGGGGAAGCAGCAGGCAGTTAGAGAAATGAGAACTCCTTTCCTCCGAGTGGTCATTTTAAAGAGACGTCCATTAATGATGACAGGAGGCACAGCAGCCCTCTGTCTGATGGACAGATGTGTTCATGATGACTTATATATTTACTTTGAATTAATTCACAGTACGGTATAATGAGGCAATAACAGGCTACAGGTGCGGACATATACACACAAATATATTTATATAAATATATACAATTTTTAAAGTATGAGAGCACTCTCATAATAACGTAACACAATCAGAGACTGGATATATCCCCCCCTCTCTCTGGTCGCTGAAATGGGGAATTGAAAGTATGGGCCAAACGTTGTATTAAAAGTAAACATAGGACACCAAACCAACTGAAACCCGTCTGGCCGCCGCATCTACGCACTGTACAACACACACACCTACACACTGTGCCACACACACACCTACACACTGTGCCACACACACCTACAGCTCCTAAAGCATAATCAGGCTACAGCCGTTGTGTATTTTATTATGTGAAGCACTAAATGGTCTTAGAAAAATATCAACTCTTTGTTTGTAGATATCTACTAAACTACAGCATACAAATACAGAAAGTAATGTAGGCCTGTTATACTGAGTGATGTATATTTTAAACACTGCTATGCTTTCTGCACGGACCTCACAGCTGTTCTCACTGTAAACATCGCATTGCGATGAAAGCAGTTACTAAAAATAATATCCAGGGGATGCATGCAGAGCTGTCATTGGCTGAGATAAGTCCGGCCGTGCGTCACGCCTCCACCGTTCCCGGAAATGCAGCCGTGGAGGATGCATCAGTGTCTCCTCGGTTAGAGCTCCTCCAGAGAGCCTCCTCGACACTCGGTCCTCGATGTGCATTTAGAGAAATGAGATGCCCTTCAACATGGCGCACTGAAATTCATTTCCGGGTCACTACCGGAGGACAGAGGCCCTCCTCTGTCCTCCGGTAGTGACCCGGAAATGAATTTCAGTGCGCCATGTTGAAGGGCATCTCATTTCTCTAAATGCACATCGAGGACCGAGTGTCGAGGAGNGAACAAAGCGCCTCACCAGTCTGGTAGTACTGCAAGAGACGGATCACGTTTTGTTCAGCCGGATAATCTCCACATAGGTCTACCTTACTTTTATAATCATAAATCTAGTCGCCAGAAGCAAAATGCTAACGTTATGCTATAAACGAAATACAGCAGGGTCGCTGCTTCAACGTCACGCCTACTTAAGATCCATATTCAAAACTACAGATTCAAAATTGTACAAGTTGAAGCGTTTGTTTTAACAGTTTGCAAGAGCGCAGGTACTTGCTTTCAAGCAGAACAGGGCAAACAAACTTAGCGGGAGTGTTTACGTGTTCGGTGTAATGACGTAAAACGGCCTCGACAACTTCTGTAGTCCTATTCAGCCACTTGTTAACAACCATCGTCTTTCAGACACGTCAACTCTTCAAAAATCACCACTGGGGTCACTGCTGATGTATTTAATGTCGTAGAACAAAACGTGATCTGTCTCTTCAATTTGTGTCAAACACAGACCTTATTTCCAGATATTTTCCAAAATCCTACGGAGAAATCCCATTGCTTTTTGTCGAAGGAACCGGCAGTGGTAAAAATGCTAACTTACTTCCGGGTTTTAGGACGCATCACTGTGGTTCTCTATGCAGGATGATCTTTAAAAAACGTACTGTGGGATCCTGCCTCTTCAGTTTGCTTTTCAGGAGCATTTTTTGTGAATTTCTGATCTGAACTAACCTCAAATGATAATAAAACAAATCTCTTAGTCCAAACACAATGCAACTCTCGGCGAAAGGATTAAATGCAATTTGACTATTAAGGTAGTTCTGAAAGAAATTAGGGTCAGGTTTAAAAAGGTGATCGATCAATTGAATTGAGGTGTTTCACCTCTGCCACGCCAGTTCCCGTTCCTGCCCCCCGGCGGGAAGGGATTGAAACTCATATCCATCAGAGGGCCATCTTGGTGCCTAATCAGATCTGGTCTCATTCCCGAGCCTAATGGGGAAGAAAGCAAACCAATCACAAATTTTTCCTTCATACCTTTCCCCTCAATAACCAAAGGCCTGCCTCAGCCCAGCAGCAAAAGGGGACTAGTGAAAGAGGTGGGAAAAGATGCAAAAATGGGAGAGAAAAAGCTAAAAGGCTGGCACCTCCACGCTGTCCTACTTTGTTTCTAACGGCAGCCAATACAAGATTTGCTAGGAGTTTAGGTTTGGTAGCTTGCCAAGTAAAGCTTTGAGAAAACTGCTTCTCAAGGAATGGGTTGTTGGAAATAATCAGTGAGCAGAAAGATTGCAGCCAAGGAAGGATTATTTGTTCAACTAGAGGTGAAGTGGGACAACTTAACAAACCAGATGGGGGAGGGGGGGACATGCAAAAACACAGCACTGTCAGGAGAGATTAAAAAAAAAAACACACACACACACACAACAATAGACTATTTCTGGTTCCATATGGGTTAGTAGAAGCAAAGCCTAGACTGTGCTTACAGAGCAGCACTGCAAGACAGAAATCAGAATTGTGTTTATGTGTATTTATTCACAGCATGAATTCGCTTTAACTGCTGAGACTGAAAATGTAATGTATCTGCTTCAATGAGAAATATGTGATTTTCCAGTGAAGACGTGATAAAAATGACTTAAATCTCTAAATGAGATTAGGAGACAGGGAAGTAAGGATAATGTCATTGGCTAAATGAACTTGCCACAATTTTATAACAGCAAACTGAGAGAGGTCAAACTAACCAGGGAAATGTGGAGGTGGTCCTCCGGGTCCGGGTGGACCAGGGAAGCGGTCGCCTCCAGGGCCGGGTGGTCCGGGGAATCTGCCTCTGCCTCGACCCATGGGGAAACCCCCTCCACGAAGGCCACCACCAGGGGGGCCGGCTTTGCCTTCCCCGGACATCTGGCCTGACTGGGCACCTTGGAAATGAGGGGATAACGCTAACTGAGTTTTAAAATCAATTTCAAATAATAACAAATATATGCATTGCAAAATGACAAGATGTTACGTAATATTTTTTGATTTCTTAGAGCATTTTCAAACATAGGACCTTTTCAATATACATGGTGACAAGCATGCATGTTCAAATAATTCTCATCAAGTGTCAAATATAAAGCAATCCCATGTGTACATTACTCCTACTTACTTTTGCGTGACTGCATCTCAAACTGGCTGAGGGTCTGTTTGTTGCACGGCGTGACGATGGGATTCTGACCATGGAGCTCCCTCTTTGACAGCAGCTCCATCAACTTCCTGGAAGATGACTCTGAGCCCACACACACCAGTGCAAACCTACATGGTAAATGCCAAGGAGGTTATACACAATCCGAGTGAATGCATGACTTGTTTTTTCTTTTGAAATAGAAATATATAGGAAAATGTTTTCGCCCAAATTCAATTTCACAAATTAGGACTGGACAGAATCAAATAAAGAAATGAGTGGTACACGATAATTATCGGCCAGATAATCATCGGTCCGATATTAGGAATTATGACGTCATCCCGATAAAAGTATTAATAGCTCCGATAATATACAATATATTTTTTGGGTAAAAAAAAAGAAAACAATAATGCGGTGTGGGTGGATTGGGATGAGGGGCGCTTGTTTTTCACTCGGCTCCTCCCGTTTTGCCAGTACTGTGGTATTAGTGGTTTAGGAAGAGGGGAGTTTTTCACAAATCCAGCGCTCCCTAACTCATGCCTGGCTGTGACGTAAATGGTGTGCGGCCGTGAAGCCAGGACAGTAAACAAACATGTCGTCGGTAGTATGGGACTATTTCAAAGTTTCAGAGTTAGATAGTTCGCTTGCTATTTGTATTAACAAATGCAATGCAGAAGTTCCACGAGGAGGGAAAAAGGCAACGAGCTATAATACTTCCAACCTGATTAGTCACCTGAAACATCGCCACGATGGTGTGTTAAAAGCGTACGAAGACGCCTGCGCTGCTAGCGGCGAATCCAAAGCCAGCTGCAAAGGCACCGGGGCTTTTACCTATCGACGAGGCTTTTGAAAAAAGGCAAGAAGTTTGCCAGAGACGACCCCAGGGCTAAAACGAGGAAAAAACTACAGGTACATTTAATATATATATATATATTATATTATTGGTATCGGTCTTGAGAAGCAGGAAGTTATCGGTATCGGTTTCAAAAAACCAATATCGTGCATCCCTAAAAGAAATTGCTTTTATCTTAATTGAAACTGTCTAAAACTAAAGTACTAGCGCATAGTACAAATTATTTTATTCATAACAAGAACTTGGATGTGGATAGATATGTAAATTGTAATCCCTGTAAATGTTGCTGTATGATGTCCTTTTGTTGTTCTGTTGTTTATGTTTTTATTTCTTCATGTGGAACCTACTGCTGCAGGATCTCGCCTTGAAAAGGATCTATTGATCTCAATGGGATTTCACCCTGGAGTAAATAAAGAGTTCTTGAATTGAACCTTGAAATGACTATGACAAATATGGAGAAATAGCTCCCCCGCTGAGGCCAACGAGCGGGGTTGGCGACTCCACGGTCAACACGAAATATGTTTAAGAAGTTTATAGAACTATAGCAGGTTGTCATTAAGTTCAATCATTGGATGGAGTGTATTATAAGACCTCACCCTTTTGGACTGGCCATTGGCTCTGTTTTCAAAGAACTGATCTCCAGCAATCTTGTGATGCCGGACCGACGGGCATAGCCTTTGTCAGGTCCTGTCAGTCGTCCACTGCATGAGAGAGAGAGGCGCCATGGATGACTGGAATCAGTGGTGAATGACCAGTGTTGGGGCAATGGTTATTTTACATAACCCAGTAACTATTATGTTCCTGCTCTCAAAAAAGTAACTAGTACTTTATTGTAGTTCCTAATTATAAAAGTCACTCGTACAAGTTACTTTCTTTAACATTATCTAACAATAAAAATCAAGTTTTTGTGTGTTGTNTCTTAACATCCCGATAGCAATAAATATATAAGTGCTTTGACAAAAGATCCATAAAAAAATGTCATCTGTGGAGGCCGTAGTACTGTAAAAAGCACGACCAATCATTTTAGCTGGCCCGGCTAAAATAACTGGATGGCCTACCTGCCTGTCAGCCTTCCATCTGTGCACCAACTTATCTCGTGCCCTCATTGGTCATGTTCGTGTGTGTTGGAGGAGGGGCTCTGTAAGGAAGTGGCAGATTTTTTCCGGCTGTGTATTTTCAAATTCTAGAGCACTCGAGCTGGTTTCTCCAAAATTACCTACCCCACCTTTAAGTCATATATTCATATTTCTGGTCTCATTTTAAAACTAGTAAGCTCAGCAATATGAATCTCTCGTAAGCAATTGGCCATTTAAGAGTAAATGGGAGTAAACCTAGTGATAATGAAATAGTTAAGTGCTGATTATTTAAATAGACAGCTCCATGCTATATAGTCAGATAAATGTAGAATGCCAAGCCTCACAGTGCTTTGAGGTATACCCAGGTATCCATCCTAGCATAATACAATGACATATGGCTTGTTAGTGTGAGTGTTTTATATACAGCCCTCAGGTGGCCACAAGCTCAGTTAGCCAACGTCAGACAAACTTGACTCGGTTGCTCTTGTATCTGTGGTTCACAGAAATGTTCCATTAGCATTGACTTGACTTTAGAACCTGGATAAAATGCTTGCTTGAAACAATAAAAGTGTTTCTCGTCATCTGGTTTGTTGCCATCAGATTTTATTTGCAGCATTATTTTTTGGCCTTTTGACATTTGTTGTTCCCTGTAGCTATGGCTTTCTCTCCCATCTGTGTTGGTGTCCTTGATTTGAACTCCCCTATTTCAATGATTAATTCCAGGACTATTAATTGTCATTCTGTTGCACAACCAAATGCACTAGTAGTAAATGTGTGCTACACCAGAAAAACCACACAAATACAACACAGCAGTGCGTTAATTACCTGCGGGTATCTACATCAGAATAAAATAATGGAAAATACTGGATGTAGCAGGATATTAAATTCAGAGCTGGTCCAATTATATTTTCAAGTAGAAAATAATTGGTGGTTTTAATACTAGCACACTTATTCCCCAAGCATGCACTTAATATTTGGGAGATCTCTACATAATAACCATGACAGTGTTTTCTGGATCTCACTCTGTCTCATGCCATGCGTTTTTTCCACTGTGTTCTGTTTTAGGTGGGATGCAAGGTCCACCACGTCCCCCTCCTGGTCCACTCGGACCCCCTGGTCCTCCAGGACCTCCACCCCCTGGCCAGGGTCTCCCCCCTCTCCACCCTGGTCCTCCAAATCGTGGTGACAGGCTTCCTCCCCCTGTTCTCTTTCCTGGTCAGTTTGGCCAGCCTCCCATGGGCCCCCTGCCCCCAGGCCCCCCACCTCCAGGTTACGGTCCTCCTCCTGGTCCCCCACCACCTCAACAGGGCCCCCCTCCCCCGGGACCCTTCCCTCTGCGCCCCCCAGGCCCCCTTGGGCCCCCCATGTCTTTGGCTCCACCTCCACACATGCCAGGTCCTCCACCAGGTGGACCACCACCAGCACCCCATGTCAACCCTGCCTTCTTCCCCCCACCTGGCAACAACAACAACATGCCCCCCAATGACAACCGAGGCCCCCCCGGACCAAACGACCCATACGGACGCCCGCCACCATATGACAGAGGGGACTACGGTCCTGGAGGCCGGTAAGAAAGGATGGTGGAGGACAGACTAATATACATTACATATAATCGCTCAGCCTTTGTTAACAATTAATTTGTCCCACAAAGAAAGTTTTTTTTAATGATAAAATTAAGTTGCTAACTCTAAAATGTGTTGCTGCACTGGTTGCAAGATAATTACTTTTTTATGTAACTCTGGGACCTAACAAGTACTGTGACTTTTGTGTGAATTTGTAGGGAAATGGAGGCGTCCCGGACCCCACTGAGCGAGGCAGAGTTTGAGGAGATCATGAACAGGAACAGAGCCATCTCCTCCAGCGCAATTTCTCGAGCAGTGTCTGACGCCAGTGCAGGTGACAATTCCAATAATATAGGAATATACTTCTCATGTACTTATTTACTGTGGGTGAGCCCATATATGATGCCATTAGAGAACAACTGATAGCCAATGCCACCTTCTGTGTCCTTTAGCTGACTATGGCAGTGCCATAGAGACCTTGGTGACAGCCATCAGTCTGATTAAACAGTCCAAAGTGTCGGCGGACGACCGCTGTAAGGTCCTGATCAGTTCCCTGCAGGACTGTCTCCACGGCATTGAGTCAAAAAGCTACGGTTCTGCCTCTAGGTAAGATGTTCATGTTGTGCAATTTTTATATTCAATGACACTATACTGAGTGTATCTAAATGTCTTCCTATTGGGAATTGGCCCTGGAAGATTTGGTATTTGAAACTTTTAAACCCTTGTACACAGTCCAATGATGCTTCTCAATGCCAGGCGAGAACGTTCCAGGGAACGGGACCATAGCCGCTCCAGAGAAAAGAGCCGGCGTCACAAGTCTCGCAGCCGTGATAGGCATGAAGACTATTACAGAGAACGCAGCCGGGAGCGCGACCGCCATCGTGAGCGGGACAGGGACCGAGACCGCGAGAGAGAGCGCGAAAGGGAGTACCGACACCGCTAGACGATAAGAAAGGTGGGTACAACATTTCCTGTAGTATTTTGTTCTGTAATAAACTCTCCTGTCTTTTTTATCACTACATCTTTTAGACATAACCCGACCAGTTCAGGCGCTAATAGCCTAATCTACATGGCAAAAGATGTCTTTAAAAAAAATTCTGCTTTGATTGCTCACCTCCTCTCTTCTTCATTGGAACAAAGGTTTCAGTTGAGTATGAGGCAATGATGCCTTTTTACTCTTTTTACGCTTTTGAACATTTTAGCAATATTTGAAGTCATCATTTACAGTATAGAAGGAAGCCAGAGTCTATTTATTTGTCCCACTAAGAATGTATGAGAAAAGTGACTAGGAGAGATGAGGTAAGCAAGAAAGAGTCTTTTAAAACTCCTTTGATTTAAGGTAGGTATAAGGTAAGTCTGCTTTCCTCAAAATGTCCCCATTTGTATTGAAGTTTGTGACGTGAATATGGTCTTGGTCACAATATGTGTAATACACAACTACTGTAATCATCATGCTGCATTGCGCAGAAGGGTTTTGTAAGAGTTGTATCAATGCTGTGGTTCTCAGGAAGTTGACTTTATGGATGCATTGTAACCTTTTTGTCTACATGCCTTTGAGACTGGTAATCTGCAAAAAAATGTCTGCCTCTCTTTGTGTTCTGCCATATCCATTCCAAAATCAAAGCATCATTTAATTTACTTATAAAACCGCAACAGCCGTTTTACATATACATATTTGTCTGTGGTTGGTAAAGTGCTGTACGTGCTCTGCCTTTTTGTCAGTTCAGATACATCAGATCCGTAGATACACTGTTGCTTATGTTAACATCCATCCAGCTCATAAAAAGAGGATTTTGTTTTTGATTTTTGCCAGCCTCTTTGGCCAGTGGAACAAAAAGTAGAAGCTTTTTCTGGCTTAAATATAAAGATTTAATATTAATATTAATGTGAGTTTAATTGAAGTGTATTGTGACAGCTGAGTTGGTTTGTCAGTGTGATTGTTATAGTAGTTCCTTGACTGATTGGCAGGTTTGGTATGTCAAAGTATTCCCTACAGATTTAGCATTTTGTATCATCTGTTCAAATTGGGATGTATTTTTAGAAGGAAAAAAATCCAATGTTTAATTTGTTGATGGGGCAACATATACTTGGTAAATGTTTTATTCGCGTATAACTGAGAATGTCATTTTGCCACATTTGCATGTCAGTAACATTTTCTGACATTTTACTATTGTCAAATTCAATGTCTTGTAACTTAGTGTTGCTCACTGTGAATAATTGTGCCTCAATTTAAGAAGCTGAGGTGACGTAAAAATCCTTTTTTGATACCATGTTATGACAACATAGACCTTGATACCCTGAGCACAAGTAATGTGTAAAAAAACGTTTGAGACATTGCATTTTCTAGTTGAGTTGCCTGATTCACTCAAACTGAAATTTCCATTTGAATACTTCTGATATTTTTTATGTGACCTTTATGTTCATTGAAATTATTTCCATTTCGGCCGCAGTATAGTAACTGGCTTTTTGGATTATGTTCTGGATCAGTTGCTGATAAATGTATACGGAAATATTGTTTAGGCCAATTGTCGCTTGGTGTTGAGGTTTTCAAATCATTATGTAATGTTTGTGGATGGATGCTTTCTTCCATGGCGTCTCTTGCGTGTTTAACAACATGATACTTTTGCAAAAACCTGTAGATGAAATATCTGATTTGAACGATTTTGTGTGGTCCTCTTGCCCTATACGGCAAAGCCCTTATGATGTCTGTGGTGTTGTTTAATAACCAGAGCTCATAGAGCAGACTCTAGAAGCTTCTGCATCTCAGTCGCACATCCCCCCAAATCATTTTCTGATATAGAATTGATTTACTCTCTCCATAAACTACATTCACTTTTGACAACTTCAATATAGTGGCTCTATACATCAGACACATTTATAAAATATTCCCTTTTCTGATTCTTTAAAGGAGTTAGTTTTTCTCCATTTGAACATGAAGCATTTGTATAATTTCACAGTTGTAGTAATTAAATGTAAAAACCTTTTCCTGAATGCTCTTTTAAAGCGATGCATTTGATTATAGCATTACAACATGAATGACTGCAGACACACACGTTGTTCTCTCTGTTAGATAACAGACCCCCAGTGAACACAGGGCTTAATCACTAAGTATATTTTTACCTAAATGTCTGCAGAAATATCAGTTTGTATTCATTCTTGATACCTTTTTTAGAGCATGGTAATTGGGGGGTAAAAAAGCTAATTTGGCCCTTTTTATCCTGATGGTAGTGTGGCTATTTGTTGTGTCCACAGATATGCTTAAACATTGTTTTATCTGTTCATATTGCCATGGGGGAATTTTCCAGGCTGACATTTTTCTCATCGTCACAAGCCTGATGTACTAAAACCATATTATCCGCTCATGTTAAACCAGGGTCAAACAGAGTTTATTTGACTATGTCAGCACTTAGTATTTATGCCCATTTAAAAAAAAAAAAAATCAATAATAAAACATTTGACTTGAATGTGACACTTAAAGATGGCCTATGCACAATGTTAAATTTCACCCAATTTGTCTTCAAACATTTGTAATGCTTTGTTTAGTTCCCCGTATAAAGATCAACCAATCAGCCTTGTAGATATCACAGTGAGTAGAATTGCTAAGGTGTACAGTTTTCTACACCACCATGCAATAGCAATTTCTTTGAATGCCTGAAGCATTATTAGTATATTTAAGTATTTCTGAAGATTATTCGATATTCTAATCTTTTCAGTAGAACATTTGTAATGATAAATAACACATGCGTTGTTTTATAAAAGTTTAATCTGTTGACTTAATGGACTGTTTGACCCTGGTTTGGCTCTGTCCTTATTCATTTCCATGCTTTATTAGATGACACGCTGCTACACATTACATATCTTTAAGAGTAGAACATGTTTGAATCTTATTTTTGATATGGCAAATTATGATTTGGTCTACTATGTAATTGGCTGTTGACAAGGTTCAGTCATGCCCCTCTCCCCTTTTATAAATAATAGTGTGACTAGGATTAACTTTGTCTTCTGTGTTTGGTATTTTCGGTTTTATAACATGTAAAACCCTATGTACAGCAAAAAAGGAATGTTCAAGTTTCAATATACACTTTAATCTTTGGACCATGTAAATCAATCTGTTGTTTGAATTGCCTGTAAGTAAGGCTTTCCTGGTGCATAAACTAACTCTAAATTCCCCATGTAAAGCAAAAACCTTGCATTAAATTGGATTTAAATGAATAGAGTAACTAACAAATTTGACTTTCTGTATCAGAACTGTTGACTTTTCATCTGATGAATGTTACATTCCATTTGAAGTGCTTTAAGTGAACCTCTGATACATACCGTCCTCTTGGTAGTTTTGTGTTTGTATCGACAGCTCTTTTTGTCCTTTCTGTGTCTTTTACTACTATATTGCTTCATTTCCGGAAACGTTGGCTGTGTCACAGTGGTTCAAGTTTTCAGTGTCTAGCTTTGTATTCAATGCCTGCCATTACCATTTGGATTTAAGATACATGTGTTCTGGGAATAGCTGTATGACAAACGTACAGCCCAGTGTTATTGGTAGTAACCAACCCTAAACATAATACATACTAGGGATGGGAATTTGAAAGCAAATGTATATTCGAATATTTGACACCCAAAAAAAACGGTTAACCGATTAACCGAAATGTACATATCCTATAAAATAAAGTTAACATTTCCCATTTTTATTTTGAAAAATAAATAAATACATGTTCAAATAAGTATAGAAACCAAGTCGAATTTGTCAAATGTATTGAACTGGTGATCACAGTTTGAACAGTTGACAGTTATACGCCTACAGCTTTCATGCTTAAAACATAACTTGGTTTTTAAATTTAAAGAGGGATCATACACGAACAACATAACGGGTTAGGGTAACGTAACCCTATTACAACAGAGGCTATTCAATACTCATTCTTTAAGAATATGAGCATGTCTACATGCTCAGGGGAGAGGCGGGTGCGGAGGCGATTCATTATCAGGCCAGCTGTAGAGAAGACCCTCTCAGCTAGAATTTGAGCATAAGATGAGGTTTGAGTGGAGCAAAACACACCTTTAGACCTAACACATTTAGCTATGGCACTGTCGTATACATTGAATTATTCCATTTGATAATATGTAATCAACTTAGGCACCCCTCCCAAAAATAAATATTCATAACTCATATTCGAAGACCTGAATAATTTTGAATATTCGATTAATCGTTCCCATCCCTAATACATACCAATGAATAATTTAGAAGTTGTTGAAAGGGGAGGGGGCAAGTCTTTTGGAAAACCACTGGGGATTGGAGAATTTATTCAACAAATGTACCAGAATCTTTGCAAATTGCACTAGGCGTACAGTATGCTACACAAAACCGAAAATATGCTGCCCTATGCAGTAAAGCCAGGAGTCTAGTTAAATCCTGTCTTAGCCCTTTGTATCAACATATTCCCTTTATCCATTCATCTGAAATGTAGTGTACATTATAGTCGTGCTTTGTGTCACGTTCAAGCATCTATATATTAATTTACACACACACATTTATATAATACACATCCATGTCTCCAAAACACAAATAAAATACATTTAGGCCTGGGCTTGAAAGCATATGGTTTCATTTTCTGGTTTGTGTATATACTGATAGATTTCCTTCTTGTCCTGTTAAAGTTTGCATGACATTGTTTCTCTGTGTCTGTCCCTGGGTTGGGTGCAATACAACGTCTACAGAAGTGATTGTCCTTATATTGTATTATACAATTTATATGCCCTATTTTCAGAGACCGTTTAATTGTGTTATGACCATACTGTTGTAAGCATAACAGTAAATGGACATGTGTAACTCACAGTGATGGTGAATTGCACCCAGCCCTGGTATGCACTATGTATGTGTAGTGTAGAGGTTTAATGATGAGGGGGGTAAAGTGTTCTCTGTTGGGCTGCCTCCAAACCAAACTCCACCCTTCGTTTTGGCCCCCTTTAGCTAACGAGGATCAAGGATGGATGGAAGGAAAAGGAGGAAGGATTTCATTGCGCCACCACCTCCCCGCCCTGCATGACCGGACAGGATCAAAGCACCACCTCCTCCTCCATCTCTCCTGTCCACCATACTTCTCTCTTGTCTGTTCATTTTGTCTGCCTGAATAAGAGCAGTGGATGGAAGACCCTGACCTGTGTAAGGCTATGTTATCCAAACATCTATACTCATGTTAACTAAAGATGAAAGAAAAGAAACTTTCCAGACAGTTCTTTTATTTTTATGATGTTTTATTTGACAAGAATATGACTGTGTGATGCTTTTTTTTGTTGCAAAGAAACGATAAAATGGCCCACCGATCCCTTACTAGAAGACACAAACATCACATCCTGTTTGCTTTTTATTTTCCCTTGGCTCGCTGTACTGTGTACATTCAGTTTAGAGATCAGTTTTTATAGGGTACATATTTGATGTGTTCTCCCCACCCCCTCCTCTCATTCTCATTTATTCTTTTTGTTGTTAGAATGTTTGTAAATGTCTCTCTGCTTTTGATTAAAAACTAGATGGTGTTGTAATAAAAAATGTTTACTGATGTACTCGATGCAGTTGGTGAATTCCTCTACATGTTTGGCTCATTTATATTAAATGTGTATTTTGGACTGCAAACTTTTCATAATGAATGTCCACCTTTTAATTTGTTTTGTTTTGTTTTCTAGCTGTATTAGCAAACGGCTTTATCTTTTTTTGTTGTGTTCTTTTCTCTAAATGGAAAAAAACTTTTAAAAGGTAAGATGAATGTACTTTATTGCAATGTGAAATGATGTGTTGCTGGGAAGATGTGTAGACCTTAAACGGGTTGAAGCTCTAAACTATTTCAGGCAGCTCTGGTACACACATACCTTGACCAAAAAACAAGAGGCAAATGCTGTTTACAAAGTGGTTTCTGTTGTGTCTAATCGCACTGACTAGCTATCGCCACAATCTCCCTATTCAAATTTGTCTTATGTTCTGATGTGAAATATGTTCTTAATCCATATAACTTCAACCAGGGATTGCAGTAAACATGTAATTGGTGATCCTTTACATTTAAATTCTAAATTAGATCCTCCATTTCAAGTACATTTGACTTTTTTCTGTGCTTTTACACAATTTTGTCCACATTTTTGTATATTCATGCCCTGTCACTCCACCACATAAGCAACAGATTCAGTGCCGGGTTTTTATAAGCAACTTCTTAAACAGGCTGTCTGCACCATCTCACTAACGTTGTCATATGCACGGCATCATGTCTTTCTTTCCAACACCCATAATGTTTGTCTTGCATTTTTGTTGCGCTGTGATTGTATACACTTTGTGATACAGAGCTTTTAGTTGGCAGTATTAAGTAGATCGTTTAGGCCAATAAGCACTGAGGTTCATGTCTGTTTTTTTACTGTCTGATCAATATTTTTAATTACAAAATATATTTGGCGTAGATAACCTGATATTTAACATTGGCCAGTCCAGTTGTTGAATTTTAGTAAATAAAAATTGGGAAAAAAATATTTGTGGTGCTGCAACAGTGTTTCATCAGAGGGTTTGATATTGCTGTTTGTTCCATGTGTACTCCATAACAAAGACATGGATAAAAAGAGACTCGAACTGACATTGTTGATTAACACTGATATTAACAGCTTAAAATAACTATTTAAATGGTCAACAATAACTGTCTCAATCTTTTTTTATGTTTTGTCTTATTTGAGATCATTGGTTTACTTGTCAAGATATTTGTTTTTCCTTTTTATATCAGTCTCGATTCAAATGCACAACCTTCTCCTGAAATATTGCATGCCTAAAAGTATTTGCTGATTGTAAGGATTGTTGACGCCACCTATTTATTGTAATGGCTTCAGAATCATCTGATCAAAAAACAAGTTGTTAACTTTGTAAAGCCAACAGCTATTTTAAATCTCCATGCTGCTCTTTTAATCTTGCAAACAGTATACTTTAAAAAGTGTTTGATATGCACTGATATTAATCATTATGCTCCCTTAACCTTGTAAACTCTGTAAAAGACTAATGAAACATTGTAAATTAGGGTTTTGTAAAAAGAAAATGCCTGATTGAAGACTATTTTGTGCCTTACAAAGCCTTTATTGTACATTGACTTTATATACATTTTGTGATCCGAGCAATTGTTGAAAACGGTTTCAATCGGTGTCATCCTGACAGGTCAATCGGACATAGGTGTCGCTGTGTATTTGTTGCTTTGTGCTCTCCACAGCGCTGAAGGTAAGTGTTTTCAGGGCCTCGTCCCTACAGAAGGACTGATTCTGAACCCAGATCCAGACTTTACCTCACAATCAGATGGAAAGTATATTTTTGTGTGTGCGTTTGTAATATTTTACCAAAGTATATTTTCACTAAATATTAATCTTTGGCTACTTTAAAACCAACTGTAACAATTGATTTGAAAAAAAGCCATGTGTTACCTTTAACTGAAACTTGACAAAGGTGTTCCGAAACTTTAAAGGTACCTGGTGATGGCAGTTAAAGTGTTTTACCCGTAAATATAATTGATCAGCATGGCAATGCAAACCTGCACTTTAATACGCAATGTATGAAACGTTGAGTATCTATGATCAGATATTATTGTAACTTTGTTTTTTTCTATTAATTGGGTAACTTTTAGATTATTTCCAGGGGGGACTGTTATAATGCTGCTAGTAATGATTTGTTCCATTTACAGTTTCCCTGACAGGGAGAGACGGCTTGTAGCCAAAAGTTATCAAATGGCCATTAGTAAAATAAATAAAAGATTTGTAAATGCAGTTTGGTTTCTTGGCTTTCCTTCGTGCACGATTAATCGAATTGGTATTCAGAGAAGGCTGCAGTCAGGAAGGGCTATCATCAATTACTTCTAGGCAGTCAATGGAAATACAAATGATTTGGTCTGCACATTATCTACAATAACCTCGGTTTCTAAATCCACCCCCGCCCCAAATAGATAGACGTTCAATACACCAATTATGGAAATAAAATATTTTTTTAGAGGCAAGGACTTTTTTGTATGTAACTTACTACGAGATACTTTCACTTTCAATTGTTTATTTTAGCTATAAGTATTGAGGTTAAAGAGGGTTTACTTTATATCGCCATTTTCAAGCACATCATGCTATGAATATATGCGATTCAATTATCAATAAAAATAACATTCTTGAAATTATATATTATACAAATAAAAGCAACGTTATTGTGCCCGGAACCTTCTGGTAGCCGTGTTTCACTCCTGCCGTGCAAGTTAGCATGTTGCACTTCCGGTGCTTGTTTGGCTAGTAGTTTAAAATGACAAGCGCTGGCTATATTAAACACACTTTTAATGCTTAAATGGCAGCTATACTAAATGTGGTCACACGCCTAGGAACAAGAAGAGTCCTGTAGAGTGAACACAGAGTTGAACTTCTCTCTCTCTATCGTACTATGTTCAAAAAGATGACTGAATTTGGTCCAGATTCCGGGGGGAGAGTGAAGGTAACACTTGAGCTGTCTGCGGTTACATTAACTCACTGTGTTGCATTACTTCTCTGTACGGTAGTTCATAATTACACCAATAAGGAATGACTAACGATAACCACTGTTTTTCTTCTTCTTGAATGTGGGAGTATTTGAACAGGAACTGATTAATTATATAATAACAACAACGTGATGTTTCCCCTCTGTGGTCTGCAGGGAGTAACCATCATTAAGCCCATTGTGTTCGGGAACGTTGCCCGTTACTTCGGGAAGAAGAGAGAGGAGGACGGACACACACATCAGTGGTCTGTCTATGTGAAGCCTTACAGAAACGAGGTGAGACATCCGGATCACACCAAGGATATCAAATACAGCAGTGTATTTTAACACGCCCGTCATTTCAAAGATATTGGTCTTCTACTTATTGTCATGTTTCCCCCATGTCTCCCAGGATATGTCTGCGTATGTGAAGAAGATCCAGTTCAAGCTTCATGAGAGCTATGGTAACCCACTGAGAGGTGAGGAAACTACAGGAGGACCACAGGCAGTAACTGCATCCCAATGTCTCTGTGATTTAGAGGGGATGCATTGTTTCTTGTGAATTATTTTTACATTATGAGAAAATGATTTTTTTTTTATAAATGGAATACAAATGAGAAAAAGTGATTGGAAATGTGATTTAAATGTGTGATCAGACAATAAAAATACTATATGCGTGTGTACAAATACTCCTCTCTGCCTTCCAGTGGTGACGAAGCCTCCGTATGAGATCACAGAGACGGGCTGGGGGGAGTTTGAGATCATCGTCAAGATCTTCTTCATTGACCCCAATGAGAGACCTGTGAGTGCCTAATATATATTGGATTGAGCTGCTTGGATTCCTAATATTCAATAGTGAACACATGATAAGATTAGTATTCAAGCCAGTGTGACAAAATAATGTAAAACTTGTTTTCCTCGTGTGTGTGTGTCAGGTGACTCTGTACCATCTGTTGAAGCTCTTCCAGTCAGACACCAGCGCCATACCGAAGAAGACGGTTGTCTCTGAATTCTATGATGAAATGGTACTCCTTCCTTTGTGCTCGGGTTTTTTAATTGTCTGAATGTTCAGTATTTCTTTAATTAAAATGCTAGGCCCATCAGTTATAGTGATATACTAATATCTAATCTTACCACCATAAAGGGAAATGCATGAATCACATATTGTTTACCGTCCACACTTAGAGAATTAGATGTTCGCACTGACATGGCATCAGTATTTTAAAGGGGACCTATCAATCAAAATGCACTTTTTGGTGTGTGTGTGTGTGTGTGTGTGTGTGTGTGTGTGTGTGTGTGTGTGTGTGTGTGTGTGTGTGTGTGTGTGTGTGTGTGTGTGTGTGTGTGTGTGTGTGTGTGTGTGTGTGTGTGTGTTCTCCTCAGAAACTAGACAAAAGTGTAAGATGTACAAACCACAGACTGTTTGTGTCATGGCGAATACAGTCTCTGGTTTATTTATGTCTGTATAGGCCGTTGTTGTGAGTGTGCACGGTCGGAGCATAAACAACGTTAGCTTAGCCGATCTCCATTCAGAAAACACGCATTTAAAAGGATTTTCACCTGCCGTCTTGTCTGTAGACTTGTCAAAGCATTAATTCATGGTTTTTACAAACCTGTATCAGTATGTTGTTACTTCAGCATCATTTTGAAACGTGTATTACAATTAAATCACGGTAAAATATGTTTATTTTGTTGTAGTTTCCAGTGATTCTCTCACTAGTTTAGCATACTCAGCCCGGTTGTTGGCCCGGAAAGAACCTCGATTTTGGAGAGCCAGAAAAACTATGAAAAAGTACCCGCTAGCCGGAACTACCCCTAGTGGAAATGCAACAAAAAACGGGCCGGGTTTGGCACGGCACGCTTAACCGCGCTGCAGTGGAAATGCGCCATAAGACATTAAAGATGAACTATTTANGCGTTGGAAGCTTATTCCAACGCTTCTGCCCATTCACTTTGAATCGGGTGACGTCACTTTTCGCCAAACTGCATTGTGGGAAGCAGAGCGGAGCTTTCCTGGCGTTTCAGGCTGCAAAAGTTGAGCAATGTTCAACTTTTGAAGCTTCTGAAGCTTTCGGTGGAAGCGTCAGCCAATCAAATCATATGCCAGTACAAGCTCTAGCCCAGTGTTTTTCAAAGTAATGTATTTAAGTACAACTGAGGTACTTTGTTTAAGTATGTTTAAGGGGGTGCCGGGGGGGTCACGCAAAGTTTGAGGGAAAGGGGAATTATTTTTATTTTTTTCAAGTTACATTTTTTTTTGGGGGGATTTTATTAATAACTGCATATCTATCAATCTGTTTCCTTTGATGCCAATATTTTTTACTTATTCATATATATTTTTTTTAAATCACACGACCGCCCTTCGAGC